CTCTCTCTCTCTCTCTCTCTCTCTCTCTCTCTCTCTCTCTCTCTCTCACACACACACACACACACACACACACACACTCATACACACATACAAACACACACACAGTGTAAAAAATCAAAATTAATGGAAGGATTAAACACTGTATTTCTAAACATCAATTTGTTAAATCCATGAGCATTCATGATCCTGAGACATCACTCATTCATTCAATCATTCATTGGTTCCCCACAGATATCTGATGTGTTTTTTAGGCACCTTTCTGTAAAAAATATAAGATCAATACTGGTTCTCACAATTCTGTGCCCTAGTGGATTGGAAGACAGACAAGTAAAGAAAGCTAGAAGGTGAATGAGGTATTGGGGGAACCATAAAAGGAACAGAAATACAATAAAAACGTCAGAGAATGAAGACATGTCTGCTGGGGAAGAAGTCAGGAGGCAGCACTCCAACAGCCATCTACACAGAGTGTGAGCAGGGATCTGAAGACAGTGAGGAGGGGCCATGTTGACATCCAAGGAGAGGGCACCATAGAGAGGAAATGACAAGAGAGGGGCACAGAGTGCATGTAGGTAATGTGCTGACCTCCACCAAGTAGGGCAGGGAGACCCTCACCCACACACCTCAGCTGAGCAATGGACACAGCTGCTCAGGACACAGGGCGCCATCTTAGTCAATATAAAAGTCCTAATACTGATGGATCTCTCTTCCCTTCCAGCCTCTCTTTACATCTGTGGGCGTCCTTATCAACCTCCACAGGCCACTATTGAATCAGTGCCACCCCGTGTGGCTGAAGGTGGAAGTGTTCTTCTCCTTGTTCACAATCTTCCAAAGGATTTTCGATCACTTTTCTGGTACAGAGGGATGATTGTGTTTAAAAAGGTTGAGATAACCCAACACAGAAGATGGAAGAATTTATTTGAGCTGGGCCCTGCCCACAGTGGTAGAGAAACTGTGTACAGCAATGGATCCCTGCTGCTCCAGAATGTCACTTGGAAAGACACAGGAATCTACACCCTACAAATTCTGAGTATATATTCAAAAATAGATTTAGCACACGTGCACCTTCAGGTGGACAGTAAGTGATTCTCTGTGGTCATTCAGTGCTGGGTGGGGCTATGACACACAGGTCTGTCACTCCCTGCATGTGGCTACCTCCTCTCTGCACTTTTGAGTTGGGGTTTGAGCACTGTGTGCAGGACACACATGTAGGAGAGAAATGTCCGTGGGTCAGACTCTGTCTTCTGACTCCCCCTGTATCTAGGAGGACCTATGTTGCCAGACTGCTCTGTCTGTTGAGGCTCTTGCGGTATACATAAAGAGACTGTGACATTCTCACAGATTGGTGATCACCAGGAAGCTTTGTCCCTAGCTGTCTGTCCCAGGCTTGACTAAAAATGTCTCAGGTTCCATTTTACCAGGACTTGACACTTACTCCTGCTTTGAGTAGACAGTGAACAATGGTTTTTGGCTGTCTATATTGAACTAGCATATGCATTATCACAAAACAGTAGAGTATCATAAACAAGAAAACAAAACAAGACAAAAAACAGAAAAAAATCAAACCAATCCAGGTTTGTTTTTAGACAGAAAGGAGGAGTGCTGCTCACTGTCTGTCTGTCTTCTCACAGTTTGCTCATCCTGATCTTATAGCATATAAGACCATGAGCCTAGGGGTGGAAATGCTCACAGTGGACTGGCCCCTCCTAAATCAATCAGCAGTTTAAAATTTTAAAATTATAATATAATATTATAACATACACTTATATATATATATAATATAATATTATAATATATACTTGCCCACTGGCCATTCTGGAATTTGTGTTTTCAGTTGAGGGTCCCTGTTTTAAATGACTCTGTCTTGTGTCAAGTTGACATAAAGCCAGCCAGGGCTTGCTAAGAAGACTACCCTGCTCTAAGCCCTCATCCAACCCTAGTCCTGGGAGCTGCAGGCAGAGCAGAAAGAACATGTGATATCAGAGGTTGACTTCAGGTACAAAGGAAAATCAGAAAGTGAATTTCCAGGGTGTGTAGAGATCAAGGTCAGAGGGAGGCATCATCTCAAACACCTTGTGCATGAGTGTGTGTGGTGTGCGACTGAGGGCAGTGAGGAGGCAGCCATGGAGACACAGAGAGACGAGAGCTCAACACAAAAGAAACGACAGACTCTGTTGCACTGAGTGAACGGAGGCCATGTTGCTGACTTCCACCAGCTGGGATAGATACACCCACACCTGCTTCCCTAGGCTGAGTGAAGAATCTGTCTCCTCAGGATGCAGGTCACCATCTTTCCACCAAACACAATGATCCCATGTGATGACTTTTCTCCTTTCTCTCTTCTAGCTTCCCTTTTCTCGTGCTGTGACCCTCTCCCCTCTGCCCGACTCACGATCGATTCAGTGCCACCACATGCTGCTGAAGGAGAAAGTGTTCTTCTCCGTGTCCATAATCTTCCAAAACATCTGCAAACCTTTTCCTGGTACAAAGGAATGCATAGCACTCAGGTGTTTAAAATTGCAGAGTATAGCATAGCTACAAAGTCCATCATCAGGGGCCGAGCACACAGCGGAAGAGAGACAGGGTACACCAATGGATCCCTGCTGCTCCAGAATGTCACTGAGGAAGACATGGGCTTGTACACACTAGTAGTCATAGACAGCAATTTCAAAATTGAAACAGCACACGTGCAGGTCAACGTGAACAGTAAGTGGCTCTCTGTGGCTTCCAGCTACTGGTACCCTACTTCATAAGTGGACTGTGTGCAGTGGGCC